TAACCCTAACCCTAACCCTAACCCTAACCCTAACCCTAACCCTAACCCTAACCCTAACCCTAACCCTAACCCTAACCCTAACCCTAACCCTAACCCTAACCCTAACCCTAACCCTAACCCTAACCCTAACCCTAACCCTAACCCTAACCCTAACCCTAACCCTAACCCTAACCCTAACCCTAACCCTAACCCTAACCCTAACCCTAACCCTAACCCTAACCCTAACCCTAACCCTAACCCTAACCCTAACCCTAACCCTAACCCTAACCCTAACCCTAACCCTAAGGCCACGGCCAATACGGACATCGGCCCCCGTAAAGTCAGATACGAAGGTGCTCTTCCCCAACCCCGTTAGACCTATAATAATAAAAAAGAGGTCTTTTAGGTAATTACTAGTAATGCCTATAAATAAAGTAAACCGATTTGACTTATTTAGCCCGAAGTATATAACGATTAGTCTAGCGGCGGCCCCACTAGGCCCGAGAGAGTCCGACTTCTCAGTATACCCTATACTTAATACCCCGACAGTCCGAGTTAATAATATTCCCCGCCCTAATTACACCGATTATCCAAATTATCCAGGGTATCGGCCGCTAGGCATATTTCAGAAAGCAGATCCCGAATCTATATAAATAGAACAGGTAGGCTATTTATCTTCCACTACTTAACTATGAGCTGCATCGTACCTAGCTCAGTCTTCAATACAAATCACCCGCAACATGCGTTCATTCTTAATAAACTTAGCGAGGATCGCCTGCATTTTAGCTTCTATTGCTAGTGGTTCTAGCCAAAGAACCATAGAGAGACTTAGCCGCGGGATTATCGCTATACGCTCTAGCAATACGGATATGCTCATCTCGTGGCGTCTACTAGGCCTCGATCCAGACAACATCGCTTTCAATCTTTATCGAACCGCAATCGACAACAATCGGGTCAAACTTAACACCGCAGCACTACGTAGTGGGACAAATTTTATTAATCGCTCGGCAAACTTAACTCAAGAGAATACCTATACAGTTCGACCCGTAGTCGATAGACAAGAGGGGGCTGTTAGTGGTACTTTTACGCTATCGGCAGACAACGCTATTAAGCCTGTCGTCCGAATTCCCATTAGCAAGGGCGGCCCAATCAAATTTGTCTGGGTCGGCGATCTGGATAGCGATAGAGAATATAATTACGTTCTCGATCGACAAACCTCGCCTCAACTTCTTAAGGCGTACGCAAGCAATGGGACCTTCCTATGGCAAGTCAATATGGGTCCCAACAGCGAAAGTCAGGATAACATATCTCCGGGCTCTTCAGCAAACAATCTGGGCCATTGGGACAGTGTCACAGTTTATGATTTCGACAGCGATGGCCGAGCCGAGGTGGCCGTCCGAATCGCCAATGGAGTCACCTTTGGCGACGGGCAGCGTTTCACACACGCAAACGATGACGAGCAGTTCATCGCCATTCTAGATGGACGCACTGGCGCGCTTCGCGCGCGAGCTCAGATCCCTACCGATTACATCTCCGACGGTCCCTTGGCTGCGAGATTTGGAGTCGGCTACCTCGATGGCCGGCAGCCCTCTCTCGTTGCCTATATGAAGAATCGCAAAGAAGACGGGGACTTCAACCTCCTGATGTCTGCGTGGAGTTTCAGTGGCACTGCTCTCAAGATACAATGGAAGTGGCGTCGAGAGGGTCAAGATGCTCCCGACGGCCATAACACCCGGATCATCGACGTTGATGGCGATGGTCAAGATGAAGTGCACGAAATCGGGTTCACCCTCAACGGCGATGGCCAGCTCCGCTACTCTTTGGGCCCACAAGGCATTGTCCATGGCGATCGATTCCACATTGCTAAGATGGACCCCCAACGCACCGGCCTGCAAGGGTATGGTATTCAACAGAATAACCCAAACGGACTTCTTGAGTACTATTACGACGCCACTCAGGGAAAGATCATTTAGAAGCACTCATTGCCTGAGGGAATCGCCGACGTTGGTCGCGGCTTAGTAGGAGACATCGATCCAACAAGTCCGGGAATGGAGGTCTGGTCTTTTTCTGGTGTTTACAATGGCCCGAGCAACCAGCTTCTTGAACAAAACACTACCCTCGCTCCATGGCCTCATCTGGGTCTCTACTGGGATGGCGATATCTTGATGGAGCTTTACAACGATGGGAAAATTGAGAAATGGGACTGGGAGTCTCCTTCGACAAGTAACAGTGTCCCGCGGCTTGTGACTACGAGGAATTTCGGCGCTGGGAGCAATACAGGACGCAATCCTGCTTTTCACGGCGACATCCTCGGCGACTGGCGAGAGGAGGTCATCTTGGTAAGCCCAGAAAATGACGAACTCATCATCTTTACGACGGATCGTCCATCTGATATTCGACTCTATACCCTCGCGCACAACCCAGCGTATAGAAACTCGTTGACCCTCAAGGGGTATGTTCAAAGCCATCATCTTGACTACTTCATCGGGCAAAACATGAGCAAGCCTCCTCGACCGAACATTCGATATGCGGGCACTTCACAGTGCACAGGTCGGCAACTGACAAAATCTGTGATATAGCTGCCTTCTTGCTATTCTATCTACATGATGTCAGCAGCCAGGTGGCTTAGGAGTGCCTGGGTGGTTAGGACTAGGCTATCGCCCGACTTTCCGAGGAATTCTATATAGGTTTATTCATTCTTCAAAAATGCACATACTTTTCGCGAAGCTGAATCTTCCGTAAGATAGTGAGACTTTGTTTCGGGATAATGGAGCAACTGAAGATTTAGATAAGCGTCATAAGAGACGTACAACAGACTTTCCCAGGAGCTATAGAGAACGCATCTGACATGTGATTTCCACAAGGTCGTATACCAGTCCATAACCTTGAAACTTAGAAAAGCTCGACTCTTTTGAGAGCTCGGGGAAGACATTCTAGATGCCTGCTAGCAACTAGTCTCGAAATTAATACGTTATACTATGAGGCTTTTGGTTTAATCCCAATTCAAGCTGAGTTTGTACTTAACTGACTGGCTTAGTCGATATTGAGTCCCATACGAGATGGTCCAACAAAATAGTTAAAACCTCAATAATACCTTAATAGTGAAAGTATCATATCTGAATGAATACTATTCTGCACTGATCGGCCACATATTGATGGAGCTGGATGCTTCGCAACGATTGTAAGGTTATATTTGGATTGGAGCCAGAAGTCTCCAATTCTCTTATGATCTGTCTTGTTAGATTATCTTGACTGATACTAAAGCAAAAAGCAAAACGCAATTATGTTCGAAACTTCTGTACCCTTTATATTACCAACACTTCCATTCCATTTTAAACTAGGGCTGCAGCCCAACCTTTGATGTGCCGCTGCCCATTAACCACCTAGACTAAGTGATAGTAGTACAAAAGCCAACGTAGTAGTAACAAGTTAGTTACTAGATTAGAACCAAAGATAATCAATGGATCCTCACTTGGCGTATTGTCGAGGCTACTCAGAGTGGTAATGCTGCGAGTATTGCCTTTTGAGATGACTCAAACATTCTAGCTATGAGTTTCACCAGCGAATGGTGGGCTATAGCGGCCTCTAGGTGCGAATACTAGACTAGGCCACTGCGAGCGACAGCCAGACCGACACGGGTCCCGGGCCGCGAGTTTATCGTGCATTATCTCTCTTAAGATATATCCGCTCAAGAGAAAGAACCTCCCATCTTATAAAACTAATGAAATAGATAGCATGCATAGTAAACCAAGCATACACGAAGTCGAGTTAAAACTGATGTATATCAAGTCTTGGCCGCTTTTCAACGAGCTGTGAAAGGTCCGAAGCGGCAGAAAGAGTCAGAAAAGCAACCTACCGATAGAATGCATCGATAAAACCAAGGATAGCCATTAATCAGCGGCTTTCTATAAGATAGGTCACACTTCTGAGAAGGAAGCTAACGTTAGTAAACCGATCATATATTTACTAAACGGGCTTCCACAGGGTCTGAACCCTGCACTTTATACGATATGAATTGCGTCTTATGGAATTTAATGCCGAATCGGGTTCCCAGACAAGGGTTACTCAGTAGGCAGGCCTCTAGTACGGGAAATCTATTGACCCCTATTTATAAACCTCGTATCCCTAGCTTAGTTACGTCACGAGGCCCCATAGATCGTCCCAAAGAGCCGTGGCGGGTTTATTTAAAATGGTTGCAGCCGGCACTCAATTGAGAAGTATGCCATGCGACACCGCATGTATCGCATATATCGCCGATGATGCTTTCGCACCTTGTATTCGTTCTACTAGCAACCATTCGGCTGGCCGTCGGTTCCAAGCCCGGCTTTGTCCAACCATCCCATGGCTACATCGTTGAGTACAAGGATGGCATCACAAAGCGCGACAGCATCTTCTCTCACCATGCCAACGTCAAGATCGTACGCGATTTCCACAGCGACATTTTCTATGGCGCGAACATCGAAGCCGACAAACGTACTATTGAGGAGCTCCTGGCTCTGCCCGACGTAGCCCGTATTTGGCCTAACCGCGTTTACGAACCAATGAGGGTCATTATGCGAGATTCGACAGACAATTCAACCAACCTGCCACCTGGTGCTGGACTCGATCCCGACTTCTACGACGTGCACAATTCAACGGGCGTATGGGCTCTGCATCAACAAGGTATCAAGGGCAAAGGCGTCAAGATTGCTGTTGTGGATACGGGTGTCGACTACACTCACCCCGACCTGGGCGGCGGGTTCGGGCCGGGGTTCAGGGTTGCTGGTGGATATGACTTTGCAGGGGATGGTAATTGGCCCAAAGGCCCTAGGGAGCCTGACGAAGACCCAATGGGCCTGCAAGACCATGGCACGCACGTTGCCGGCATTGTTGCTGGCAAGGGTGAAAAATGGAGCGGCGTCGCACCGGAAGCCACTATTTACGCATACAAAACGTACGCGCGGGACGGCACCGACGAGGCCATCAACATTGACGCTTTTCTCGCGGCGTACGAGTCCGGCGTTGATATTATCACAGCGAGTATTGGTCTTGGCGGCGGATGGTCTGATGGTGCTTGGGAGGAGGTCGCGACGCGCCTTGCAGCCAAGGGCGTTGTCATCACAGTGTCTGTTGGCAATGGTGGCGACGGTGGACCTTTCCGTGCCTTGTCTCCTTCTGGTGCCAAGGGCGTCCTTGCTGTTTCCAACGTTGATACATTCTGGAACCGCGATGCAAACATTGTCACACCCGAGTCTACGACTTCTTGGGGACCCCTCTTCGACCTCCAGCTGAAACCCGACGTCGGCGCCCCGGGAACGAACATCTACAGCACAGTGTTCAACCACGGCTGGGCTGTGTACAGTGGTACTTCCATGGCGACGCCCTACCTTGCAGGAGTTGCAGCACTCTATATCGGCCACTTTGGCGGTCGTGGTACGCAGCACGGAGCTGAATTTGCCAAGTTTATGCACAACCGCCTCGTCTCTAACGTTCGCAAGGTCAACCAGTGGAGCTGGAGCGATCCAACGGCTACTATCGCACAAGTTGGGAGCGGATTGATCAACGCCACGAGTCTTTTCGCTTCGAAAACGGACTTGGTGTACGAGCCCATGGCCCTGAACGACACTCGATTCTTCTCTCGCTATCATAAGGTCACGGTTATCAACAACAGCGACAAGCCCGTGGAGTATCAATTCACCAAAGAAGACTCGATTGGTGTGAATACTCTGGGCAACGGTGACTACGACACGATCGTCAAGGAGTTTGGCTACCTACAGTGGAATGCGTATTCCATCAATGCCACTCTACCCAAAACATTCACCCTCAAGCCTGGCAAGAGTAAAGAGGTTACCGTCACCTTCCAGAATCCTGACATGTCAGACTGGTACAAGCCAGTCCTGCCCCTTTACAGTGGCAACATCATTATCACGGGGTCCAACAGCGATCGTTTAGCGGTGCCGTTCCTCGGCGTAGGCGCTGACCTGAAGCGCACCTTTAAGAAGATGTTCCTGACTGAGCCACAAATGCGGTCGCTCGATCCGCCTGTCGTGCAGGGCCTTAATGGTTCCGTTCCGACCTTCTCTTTCAACCTCACCGCCCAGGATTTCCCCATCATCGATGCCGGTATCGGTTGGGCCACACGTCAATTACGGTACGACATCTTCGCGAAGGGTTGGGAGAAGCGATCGTGGTACTGGCCTCTCGTGCCTGGTAAAAATGGATACGTGGGTTCAGGGACTTGGTGGGTAGGCTCCGGACAGGTGCCCAAGTGGTTCGACACGTTGGGTTGGAACCCAGACGAAACGAATGACTATCCCCAAGTCAACACTGGTCGAGCTGCAGGCATGCCGGGATACGACAAGCGCGAGTACTGGTGGTTCGGCAAGCTTGCAAACGGCACCAAGATTGCCGATGGTGAGTATGTATTGAGGTTCGCAGCCTTGGTGCCCTTTGGCCGACCGGAGGCAGCGGACAATTGGGATGCCTGGACCTTGCCGTTCAGAGTCAAAGGATAGTACACATCGTAGAATTTTCGAGACATAGTAAGATCCGATAATACTTGTAATCCAAACTTGCCCCGCCGCACCAGGACGCGTATGACCTGCTGGGGAACGCGTCGGGGCCATACAGTGTATCCACAGTACTTACTACCCACGCACACGCGGTCTCCCCGCTCAAAAACCCCTCGACCAGTATTACATCACAAGGTGTAGGTGAGGCACTGCATATTCGATGACCGGCATGGACCATCTCGAGGGGCACTCGCGCACCGATCCTCTTCGCATCGGCGTCGCATCAACGCGTGAAATTCTTGCCGAGAGACCGGGTCTCGTCGTTTTTTCGGGCGGCAGCGCGGCAAACAGTCTGGTTGATGTGTTTGAACACGTGCGCCATCTCAATGACTTTACGCTTAGCTACGTAATCCCCATCTCGGACAACGGCGGCAGCTCAAGCGAAATCATCCGAGTATTTGGCGGGCCAGGTGAGTCTTCAATCAGGTATCATGCAAGGTTAGCTAATTGCATCTTAGGTATCGGCGATGTCAGATCGCGACTGGTTCGTCTCATACCAGACGACAGTCCAGAGAAGACAGCCATCAAGGGCCTTTTCAATCATCGCCTGGCAAAGGACTATCGGGAAGCTCGCGAGGGCTGGAGCTCCATCCTGGAAGGCTCACATGCTCTATGGCGTGGCGTTTCTACGCCGAAGAAGGAGCTCGTCAGGTCATTGCTAAATCACTTCAACCTTGAAGTCATCAAGCGGACGCGACCGACCAGCAAATTCGACTTTTCTGGTGCAAGCATTGGCAACCTGTTCCTGACGGGGGCCAGGCTTTTCACTGGTAGTTTTGAGGCCGCCATCTATCTTCTAAGTTCTGTCTGTGCGGTTCCTGATCACATTTCCGTGTTGCCGGCGCTTAATACAAACTTCGCAAACCACATCGCTGCTGGCCTCGGTGACGGCACTGTCGTTATTGGTCAAAACGATATCTCGCACCCGAGCGCGCCATCCAATGCCGTGCCGCTACCAGGAACATTGGCCATGTGGACGGAGCATGCGGATGCCGTCGAGGATGCCAATCTCCCCGGCTCCCACCCGGCGCTGAGAAGGCCTGCGATCGAGTTTTCCAAGCAGGGCGAGGAAGAACTGCCGGCGCGAATTGAGAAGATCTGGTATATCAACCCGTACGGCCAGGAAATACGTCTGCCAGCGAACCCGCGGGTACTAGACTCAATTGCCGGTTGCAAAGCAGTTATTTACAGTATTGGATCTCTTTTCACTTCGATTATCCCTAGCCTCATCCTCAGCGGAGTTGGGGACCACATTGCGGATCCGTCCATACGTACAAAAGTGCTCATACTCAACGGCTGCATCGATCGGGAGACTGGCCCGTCAACTGAGCCTTACACGGCATTGGATATCATCGGAGCGGTTGCTGCCGCATGTGCAGGCTCTCGAGGACACTGTCGGCCTGAGGAGATGGAATACTCTACTTATGTCACCCACCTGATTTATGTCGAGAGCTCGTTATCTCCTTCCGTCGACAAGACTAGGCTCAACGAGCTCGGAATCGACGTACTGCGCGTTTATGGCATGAAGACGGATCAATATGGAGGCCGGTACGACCCCAAGGCTTTGATGCAAACACTTGAAGCGATCATAGGGCGAGCCGACAAACGACTGGACAGGAGCCGGCGAAACACGTTGGATGCATGAACAATTGAGTTAGTCGGACATTCATCTGGTTCCCTATACACTCGGACGTTAGCTAGTGAACACTAGTCACGGGCCTACATCTTAACGTAGTGATAGAAAGGCTCCTCATATCACCTATCTTATATCACTTGGCGCGATGTCTGATTTCGCGTCACAGGAGCTATCCGAGGAGGCACATGCGGAGGCCAGGACAGGGGTTAGCGTAGGGGGCTCAAGACCATAGCAGAATCTTTCTGGGCTGTGACGTACAGAGGGCCATAATTCAGATGTATTCTTTACCTTTACTAAACAATGTGCTGCAGTCATCACTCGCGGAAGACTCCTTCACTCTGCTCTGCCCCTCGCTCTGACAGGTGAAAAGTGAAAGTGTCAGCTTATTCGACGAGGAACTGAGAAAATCAAGGCGTCCAGACCGATGCCTTTTCCAAGATATTGACTCCTCAATATGTCAGCTCCGCGGCCCACCTTGTAGGACTCGCTGTGAATTATTCATCTCATCAGGTAGTCTGGACCAAGTCTGGCTAATAATAACGACATGAAGCCGCCTACCAGTCAACGAGGGTTCAGATGACACCTGCTCGAATCAAGTGCACACCAGCTGCGAGTCACGCTAGGCATCCTGTCACCATCTCGCTCGACTAGCTGAATCGCGGATGGCTTGGTGTTCCTTAGCCTACCGCACAGATCCCGTAACTACGTCCGTGACGACTCAGCAACTCCACAAGATCGACATCCTTCAGTTCGGGGATAAGCAGTTTTGATCCTACTGTTTTCGCTACAGAGCAGATCCTTTCTAGCTTGGCCGTTCGCTCGACTAGCCAAGCCATGATACTCGCTACAGCTCAAGTAGCCATGCGCCCGCAGATCTAGCGTGCTCAAACGGAGCGCGACGCGAGCTTCGACACCACACAGACCTCTCGATGTGCATGATCAATTGGTCTGACCCAGTAATTCATGGGCTTGAAAACATTGGATGAAAACGTGTGAAGCGCGGATGTAGCCTGCTCATGATTCACGACCGGCGGCACGCCCCGCTGGATATGATGTTTGATTTGCATGCTTGGGTCATACGGAACTGTCCTTTAATATAACTGATGGGGGTGCGTTTTCATTTTTTGTGCATGCTTCTTCGAGCTTTCGGGTCTCAGCCATCATGCCCTCAACACTAACCTCGTCATACTAAGGTTCCACAGGTCTGTTGAAGGATCATGACACGCCCAAACTCGGTATTATTCATGCTGCTGGCAGTTGTGGCCGTCGTAAGCTCGGCGCAGCAAGATCTATTCAAATACATGAATGAGATACCGGATTGCGCAGTAAGTTACCTCTTTTGCAGGTTTTGATCTTTGGGGGCGTCCCGTTACTAATATGTCTTCAATGGTCATCTGAAGATGACATGTATTCTCCAGGAGGTCCCTCGATCAACCTGCAACATTGTCACGAATTCGACATGTCTTTGCACTGATGAGAACTTGCGGAAAGCTACACAAGTATGCGTCAGGAGCAGCTGCGAGTCCATGTTAGATGCTCTAAGTACGCTCCCTTATCGCTAGCGCGGTCTTTTATTGTTCGGTATCAAATTCTGATCTCATCTTCCGCCAACAGAAGCATCAAAGGTGGAAGCAGAAGCATGTCAACGTCCACATCGTGACCGGCGATCGTCACTACTGTCATCTATACCAGTTCAGGTTCTTACTGTCCTCGTAATAGCTCTGCGAATGGTCTCGCGTTGGAGTATGTCGCACTCATTCGAGCCTGATGATTGGATCATGACTGCTTGTCTCGTACGCTGCCCGACAACATCCAGATTCAATAACGAAAGAGTCTTGCTCACGAACAGCCGCAGATACTATACGTCCCATTCTGCGTGATTGGAACATACGGTACGTTTCTTTCCTGGCGGATTCAGGCTTGTTTCGCGACGAAACTGACCTCATTTTAGTTGGCCGCCTCGCGTTTGGCAGAGACGTCTGGACAGTCGAGCCTGATGACCTGACCTACGCCCTGAAGCTCTTCTATATTGCTCAAACATTGTACATGCTGTGCCTCGCATTGCCAAAAATCGCCATTTTGACATTCTTTCTTCGCATCTTTCCCAGTCAAGGGTTTCGCAGAGTCACGTACCTTGTCATTGGTCTGATTGGTCTTTCTACTACCATCACAACCTTTCTGCAGATCTTCCAGTGCACACCGATACGGTTCAACTGGGAGGGGTGGAAGGGCCAGTTTGGTCAACATCACTGCATGAATTTGAATGCTCTAGCATTTGCATGTGCTGGTCTGAGCATTCTACAGGACCTCGTTGTTCTCGTGTTACCGCTGCCCCAGTTGCTGCGCCTCAAGGTGTCGCGGCGGACAAAGGCTGGAGTCATCTTCATGTTCAGTCTAGGCATCTTCATCCTTATCACATCTTGTGTCAGACTACGATACATCATCGTTTTCGCAAGATCATCAAATCCGACTTGGGATTATGTCGACGCCCTCATTTGGTCAGGAACGGAGATATCCGTTTCGATGATCGTCGTTAGTCTGCCAGCAATCCGATTACTTTTGTCAAAGATCGTACCTGGCATGTTCAACACCATAGCATCACGGACTGGGTGGTCATTCAAGACTACTAGACAGACCGATGGGCAAGATCTTTCAAGCCAATGCACCTCACGCAGGAACGCTCTGCAGCTTGAGGCTGCCGAGAGTGAGCACCCTGAAAATGGTTTGGAGAAGTGTCAAAGCCAAGGAAGCCACAAGCCGCTCAGACCGCTTTCCAATATTTTACGTCCTGAATTCCATGATTTCAAAGCTACATCAGGGCCCGACTTTGGGGAAAGTCAAGAGGCTCTGGAGCTTGGCGAAAGGATCAAGTAATCTAGAGGTCAACCACGGGCCCTTTTCAGAATACATCAGCCGAACAACCAATATGGAATCATATTTTACGAATATCAATGGAACAATCACAATTCAGCAATAACATGAGTTTCATCAAAGCTATATGCATGTCTGGAACGGTTGATGGAGATTTGCCATGACGGATTTCTGGTCCCTAACGGCGTCTAGTTCAAGCTAACTAGATCGACTTCAGTCCAAATATTTCTGTACATATACTATTATGGGCCTGAAAGATGCGCAAGAATAGCTTCCATCAGCGCCTGGCCGCTCAGTGCTTCTCCAGTGGCAGGTGTTGCAGGTGTGGCCGTGCCAGCCGGCGGAGCGGGTACCGCTGGCGGAGCTGCGACTGCGGCGGGATCCGGGATGAAGAAGGCGAATTCTCCGTTGATGTTGGCCACGGTGACAGTCAGTTCGTTTTCTTCTCGCTCGAACTCCAGCTCGCCGACGGCAGGTCCAATGACAAAGGCGTTTGTTTCGGTGCACAAGCGAGCAGCCTGGCCTTTGCTAATGTCCAGAGTATCTGGTGTCTGTTAGTTGCGCTGAGCCGTCGGCAAATGAAGATTTAACTGACTGTTGGCGTTCAGAATGTAATCTACTTTCTGAAGCGTAAGACCGTCTGTGCCTTCAGCGAGGGAGATGATCCAAGAAACAGGTTCAACAGCAATAAACCCAACGGGCGGCGCAGCTGGGCTTTTATTCTCAGCGACTGTCAAGGTGCGCCCCACAGGGCCTTGTAATTCGACCTCGAAGACACCGTTGACCTTTGAGAAGTCAGGATGGAGACGTGGAAGCAACAGAGCATTCAACTTACACCAGGAGGATACAGTGTGTCAGTCTTGATGTCGTTGCCTCCAACTGCGATGGGTGTGTCGAACTGAGCTTGCTGCTCGACCTCGTTCGCTTTATTCTCCCCTCCGGCTTCGCCATCGGCCACGGGCTCACTAGCACCTGTTTCAGCTCCAGCACCAGTCTCGCCTGCATCGGCGGCTCGTCCGCCTCGAGAGACAAGAGCGCTGCCGCGATCATTCGAGGTAGGCAACGCGACGACAGCTGAGAGCTGAGCAGCAACGAGAGTAATCCAAGAAAGCTTCATATTGAAGGATGAGAACAAGAAGTATAAGACTGCAAAAATTGAGTAACCGATAGCTAGAAGTGAGAACAGGGGCGGTCCAGCCGAAAGAACGTGATAGAAGTCAGAACAAGCTCACTAAGAGAAGGTGAAGCCGATGATGTGAAAGGAAAATATGATACGGGAGCCGATTGCCAGCCGATCTTTATACATTGCACCACCAAGCTGTCTGGCGTCAATTGACACTCGGGTAAAACTTCCTGGCCGCAATGAAACCTTCCTTGCCCCCGTTAGTGAAGATGCAGTTGAGCATCGTGAGAGCAGATCGTGGCCCCACCCCCGCACAGGGTTTCAGACGACAGCCAGCGATGTGGTATATATAGACCTCAAACAGCCAAGACAATTGGACGATGCCTCCTGCGGAGAATGTGCGCCAAACTAGTCGTCTCTTCTCAAAAGATGGCAGTTTTTTTCGTCGTCCGAAGGAGCCGCACCAGTTTCACAGTGCTGACAGGCAGGCCGACTTGGCGTTATGTTGGGATGCCAAGGCGCGAACGTGCCATGAAGCCCGCCACTGTTTGAACATGCATGCGATGTATGGTCAACGCAGGACTGTTCCGCGAGCTCAAAATATCATGTGCAGATACAAGCGATGGCGGTTTGGTCGGAGCGAAGCGTTCTGTGTATTGTAATAACCATGGTTGCCCCCGACGACGCATGCGATTTCACTCCTTGGACAGCAAACTCCGGGTTGGGCAAGACGAAGTAAAGAATTACGGGCGCCATCAAGTGAGCTAGATACCTGTCGTATAGATCCCACACGCTCTCCAATGGAAAGACAGGCGTTCAGATCATATCTTACCGGTAGGCGTTAATCGTCAAGTAAGCTCACTCATGCGGCCATTGTCAAGTGGTTCATGGCATTGCATCAGCCGTGAGAGGCTACAGTGATGAGACGTCGGATTAAGGTGTGGACCAGAGACCTCTTCGACTTGTTGTGCTTGATGTCGGGTGACACGCTGTGCTCACCAGAACACAGCATCTCAAGAACGCATGTGCCGGCTGGGTCACAGGCGAGATTTGGGGTGCGGGCACACCCACAATTCGCCGGCGATCTCCCCAAGCCCCCCATGGAGATGCCACGAAGTGTGTGGGGAAGGGCATTTCGGCCGCTGGCCGATATAGACTGGGGATCACGAGCGAAGGCCGACTGACTGCCTTCAAAAGGGCACGACGGACGACCCCGTGGCAAAATCGCCGAGACAGAAGACAGAATGTGGTGCGTCGAGGTGGCAGCGAGGTCTACCAACTTAACGACAAAGTTGCATCGCCGTCTGTGTTGGGTTTGGCACTCGAGACAGAGAGCCACGGACCTCAAATGCTCACAACATGGCGGCCTCGTCACGATGGACAGAATGTGGCAGCTTGTCTACATTGCGAAAGACTAGCCGGCGAACGGCTGCTATAAAGTGAGAACAAGAAGACGTTCCCAAAATATGTGACTCGCACAGCAGCTTATCCTCATGACCATCATCATGCAATTTCTTACCTTTCTCTTTGCTCTGACGGCCTCAGCCGCTGCAGTTACTCTGAACGACTTCACCAGGGCCTGGCCGGGCGGTGTTGACAACGTCATCGTGACAGAGGCCAACACGCTGAACGGCACGGTCAACAGTGAGATTAGACCTGCCAGAGCGCCTCTACCCGGAAGTCTACCGCTTAGTCTCGTCAACAACTTTGCTGGGGGATTATTGAACGCCTACATCTCGGGACTCGACTCGAATGGCGCGGTAGTATTTTTAGCTGCGGACGGCAGTTTGGTCTATCCAACCTCTGGCGGCTCCAGTGTCCCGGTGCCGATTGACGCCGACATCGCCATTCCGCTGCCTCCAAGGGGGCAGACATTGCGCATAACACTGCCAATCGCTCTGAGCTCGGGTCGCGTGTATTTCTCGGCTGGGAAGCTGGATTTCTTTATGGTGTTCACTGGTTCTGGCGACGGACTGGTGCAGCCTTCGATCAACAACCTGCAAGATCCCAGTGCTGGGCTCAATTGGGGGTTCGTGGAGCTGACGCTGACCCCGGAAGGCGTCATCTGGGCCAATATTAGTTTCGTCGACTTTGTCGGCCTCGTGTTTGGAATGCGACTAGTGGACCGCGACGGCCGCCTGCAGGAGGTTCTCGGCTTGCCAGCGGGTGCTGTGGACAGCATTTGCAATGAACTGCGTGTCCAAGGGGATATCGACGGGCGACCTTGGGCAGCGCACTGCATCAAGGGACCCACGGGTGGTCCATTGCGCGTTGTCTCGCCGAACAACTACGCCACGATAAATCCAGGAGCCTTCGCCGACTACTGGACAGTCTATGCTGATGAGGTGTGGCGGCGGTACGCAAATCGGCCTCTTTACATCAACACGCAAAACGAGAACGGCGTAGTGGAGTGTCGCGTCACGGGCGACACTCTATCGTGCGACGGCGACAACCGTGGCTACGCGAGACCCGAAGCTGTCGACATTTGGGGCTGCAATAGCGGGCCATTTGGCATCCGACAGGGTGATAATGCCGTTCACTACGCCGTGGTCCCACGGCTCTGCGCTGCCTTTGTCCGGACGACACTGCTGCTTGTTGGAGGCGACCTGCAGCCGGGAGTCGAGGCACGCGACTATTATACCCAGGATCCAACTTCCCACTACAGCCGCATCGTACATGAGCAGGAGGTGGATGGAAGGGGCTATGCATTCCCATATGATGACGTGAACCCTGATGGTGCTGAGGATGCTGCAGGTCTGGTCGCGTCGGGCAACTTTGATGTGCTGAACTTCTTCATCGGGGGCGTCTAGATGACCCCTCATGCGAGTGGTGCTCGTAGAGCTAGTAGATGTATCAAGTTGAAATCAATCATCCGGGCCGTGGCCGGGTCTCTATTTCGTCTCTCTAAGACGCGTCTATGTTCTATGTGTATCGCCTGTGAAGGCCGTCTCGCAAAGTCTAGTTCTTGACCCAGCGCATGTTGCCCTTGATATCAGGGTCGTTCTCGACGTAGTGCAGAGTGCCGAAGACGGACCACAGCTGGCCAAGGAAGCTGCGGTCGTCCCGGATGTACAGGTCACCGAGCAGAGGCTTCATGGCCTCAGTAGCCTCATCAGCCTTGTAGAAGGGGATGCGGCTGCGACAGTTAGCGACAGAATGACCTAGGCAAGCCCGTCGTGCAACTTACGGGAAAAGGTGGTGCACAACGTGCTTCTCAATGATGCCGTGGAAGAGGTGCTTGCCAATGAAACCAAACTCGCGGTCGACGGTGGCAAGGGCGCCCTTGACGAACGTCCAGCCCTCCTCGTTGAAGTGGGGGACATCAGGGTGGTTGTGGTGGAGATAGGTGATGGCAACTAAACGCATGTTAGCAGGAGCCTCACAACAGCGAAGGTAGGCGAAACTAACCCAGCCAGTGGTGGACCCAGAAGTAGGGAACGGCATAAAGGAAGAGAACAGTCGAGAGATCCAGGGCCTGAGTGGCGTAGTAGAGCGCGGTGAACATCAGGGCCAGGCCGACGTCGGTGATGGCGACGTAAAGGACCTCGCTGGAGCGGAAGACGGCGCTGGTCGGCTCAAAGTGGCTGACATGGAAATACTTGCCGAGACCAGACGGCTCGCTCTGCTTGCTACCCTTGCCAGCGGTAACGTTGAAGAACAGGTATGCCTGCCAACCGAAGAGCTGGTGGAAGATGAGGGGCACAAGCTGGGCAAGGGGGGTGTCCTCGAAGAGCTCGTGAAGGTTAAGGTTGGCGAGGAACGAGGGCAGGCGCGAAACGGGGGCCTTGGTAGCGGGAACGAAGGCCATGTCCTTGTTCATGTGGCCGGTGAAGCGGTGGTGACGGTGGTGCGAGAACTTCCAGGAGAAGTAGGGCACCAGGAGGAAGGAGTGGAGGACCCAGCCAACGCAGTCGTTGAGCCTGGTGTGCTTGGAAAAGGCACCGTGTCCGCACTCATGTCCGAGAATCCAGACGCCGGTACAGACGAGGCCCTGCACAAAGCCATAGGCCATCCAAGCGGCGAAGCGCAGGTACGCATTAGGAATCGTAGGGATGAAGGTCAGGGCGGCCCAGACGAGACCGGTGACCATGGAAAGGTCGCGGAAGACATAGTAAAAGGACGTCCATAGCGACGGCTCGAAACAATGGGCGGGAATGGTGTTTCGGATGGTTTGAATATCGGGGAAGACAGGCGCGGATTTCTAGCGAGAGGGCCAAAGGTCAGCCATTGAAAGTGCAACGAGGGCTTTAAATGCTCGAACTTACCTGCGGCTGGAGGACCACGGTCGCGGTGGCCGTGGTCGTGGAGGTGCGCTGGCGGGTGACGGTCGCCATTGTGGTGGTGGTGAAAGCTGTTAGTGGGTGAACAGCAGAGAGATGTGTCAAGACGAAGAAATGTGAAGAAAAGGGGAGGAAATGAAGGAGCTCAAAGTTTCCAGCGGCGGCGCAAAGAAAAAGGCTTTTTGCAAGACCCTGACTCCCTGAGGAGGCAACCCGTGCATGTGCTTGTACCTCGCCTACGAATGTGCCTGCCAGTGCCCGTCGTACCTCTGCCGTACCTCGCAAGGTTTCTTGCCTGTCTGAGAAGAGCCGGCGAAAGCTGCCCTGTGGGGATCGACGTCTCGTCTCTGTTGTCGAGGGCGGTCAAGGGATAAGGGCACCAAGCAAAGGGCCAAGCTCCTCCAGCGACCCATGCAGACCCATGGGAGCAGGAGTGCCCCTTGTGGATCGATCTGAGCAAGGGCCCGTCGAATGCTTAAGGCGAAAAGGGGAAGCGTTCTTCGTTCTGACTCGGAGGAGGCATGATGCGATTTTCCTAAGGTAAGATACCAGTTGCACAAGCCGGGGTCTCAAGCATTGGGTTTCGCTGCCACGATCTGGCGCCTCGATCTAGCTGTCATCGACGAACACCATTCGCACGCTGCTGTTCGCTCACGGGCAAGGGAACGCAAAATTGGGTGTGTGCGAGACCGAGACCGATGCGTTTGTGCCTGTAGCAGACAACAACACAACAGGAAAGGGCAGGCATGCGAACTTGTTGAGGTGAGAGGAGCCGAGGTGGATGACCCGCAGGCGATCCCACGTCCCAAGCCGAAGCAGTTTGTCGCTTAACCCCCCGCGCTAGCCATTACAGGACTAGACACGCCTGGACCTAGACTTTCGAGGCGAGATTTTCAGGGGTCCTGACCTAAAAGCGGAGCCTCCCATGATAAGGGTCTACTGGGCCCGGTGGGTTTTTCCACCAGGGGCGGGTCCCAACCCCAACAATTTTGGCTCTTTCTCTTCTCTGTTTCTCCTCCTTCTCTCCCTTCTTTTCCTCATGGCCTCCCCTTGTTCTCTTGCTTTTGCACAGGGCAGCGACTCAGACCCTCAGGCCCTCCGACGCTGTGAATTCGGCCAGTCGCCATTGGTTGGATACTTTTCCTCCGGCAGCTCGTTGAAACGGACGGGGTCGTGTTCCAAAAATCTGGGTCCTCATCACATGCCACCAGGTCCGTCGCCTCGCAAGAGACATGAAAGGGCCTAATGCGATGCGAACCTCTAGTGCACCGCCGGTTGTCGGCACCACACGCCGGACCAGTCAGGTGATTTCGGCTGCCGCTTCTGTGCATGTACATGCACGAAGACATTGCATCAAGTAGGGCGGTGAGTCGACGGATGAGCAAATCATCCAGTAAGCATGGAAGAGGCATGATCGCCCCCGTCTAGGTGTGTCTAGGTGTGGCTTCCATTTGGCCGGGTTGCCAAGCTTGCTTGTTCCAACAGAGTTGGCTGTCATGTCTAATCACAGCAGACGAGTCTAACTATTAGTCGCGCTCACAGAACATCAGTGCATAGTCTTTAAGCAACCCAGGCCAACCGGTTCATTCCGGGCTCCTGATTCATCTTAATGTATGTCGCGCATTACCAACAGGTGATCGCCAGTTGTTTGCCTACTTTCAGCGTATGTTTGGCTGTTTGATTGCATTATATGAATCCTTGTCTGAGCCACCTCCAGTTCCCCTTCACATGTCAGCGGAGAAAACCCACCCAGTCGAAACTTCAAGGCTGCTTCAGGAGTACAAAGCTGCAACAGCCGTCCAGCTGTCGCCCCCAGGTCACGATTAATCGCCTCGCTCTGACTTCTGTTTTCTAGGCGTCAGGCTGACAAAGTGTTGTCTCTCTATTTGCGCCTTTGTTCAGAGGGCGCTCACAATAGACAGAAATGAAAGCTGGAGTCCGAGGCTTGCAAGGTTGTTTCTTGCAGGTGGGGTCTCAGTCTAGCGACATGTTCATGTTTAAGCTTCGTCTTGATCTCACATATTTACAATGTCGGCGTAAGGGACGTTCGACATGTTTTTGGGTGGTTTTGTCTCCTTGTGTTGTCGGGAGCCGGAGTAACTCGCCGTCACAAGGCATGCGCGCCATGAAGAAAGCTGCTATCGTGACTCTTGGTGGCAGCTCGATGCAAACAATAAGAGTGATCGATGATAAGACCGTAATCAATCGATCAATTGTACCAACCAATGTTGCTTCATGGCAGAGCTTAGAAGAGTAAAAAATGGCCAGCTCCGCCCATGGAGATTACTTGAGCGCAAAAGCGGATTTGCTCAATTTCTTCTTGGGCCATATAACTTGGAGGGTCAATGTATGCACGAGCCTGTCGCGTCGGAAAATAGCTGATTCTTTCAGAGTTCCAGTGGATCGTATACTCACCATCAGAATGACAGGAAAACTGAAAACAGATCCTCGTCAGTGTGAGCAACTTTTCTTCATTGCTGTTGGGTGGGGATTCTAGCAGGCTGACGATGGGCCCCCCACTGGCCCCAGCCGCAAATTTGAGCCTCCGCCTCGAGCAGCCTCCGACAAGCCGAAAGGTTATTTCCACCTCTCAGCCCCGCCGTCCATCAACCAACACCCCGCGAGCTTCATCCGACGAACGTCAGCATTGTCGAGATTGGCATCATGTCACCCCACATACTCTTGTACTTCATCCCAGGAAATCCTGGCTATGTCGACTACTACACGGACTACTTGCACGACCTCAAATCAAGGGCCGCTTTCGCCGAGGGCCACATCCACGTCCATGGGCGCGATCTTGCTGGTTTCCGTGATGACAGCCACAGACCATTCACACGCGACAGCCCACCATATGATCTTGAGGTTCAGATAGAAACCATCTTCAGACACGTGGCGTCCCTCCGCCGGACGAACACGTCTCGTGATACTCCCGGAACAGTGGGCCAGCCATATGACCTTGTCGTCATCGCTGGACACTCCGTCGGTGCATACATTGCTCTTGAGATTTTCCATCGCCATCAAAAGGACCCTTCAGCTGCACCGCACCTCAATCTCCATGCTGGTATCCTACTTTTTCCAACCGTCACGCACATTGCGCAGTCGCCGAGCGGCCGTCGGCTGGCCCTCCTCGCATCGTACCCGGCCGTGGGCGGCATTGCTCACATTGTCGCGAAGGCCATCCTCTTCTTCTGGCCCGCTTGGGTGCTACAACTCTTCGTATCGTTCATCCTTGGACAGTCACCAGCCGCGACGAAAACCACTGTCGACTTCCTCAAGAGTCGCGATGGCGTTTGGCAGGCGCTTCATATGGGCCAAGATGAGATGCGCGTCATCGCCGAAGACAAATGGGATGATGCGTTATGGGATCTTCCAGCGGCAAACCGGTCTTCAAACCCAAGCCCCCGCTTCTTCTTCTTTTTCGGCGAAAATGACCATTGGGTATCGAACCGGTTCAGAGATCACTTCATCGCATCCCGTACCAAGCACGTTGACAACGGATGGGCGCATGTCGAGATTGACCGAACCGGTCTTCCCCACGCTTTCTGTACGACGCAAAAGAACAGTCGAGCAGTTGCTGCAAAGACTGCAGGCTGGCTGCGTGAAATATGGGATGCGGCGAATAATTCAAGCAAGTTGGAGTAAGTTTGCGAATTCTTATTTCAAGATCTACAATACACAAAAGTGCAATGTGTTAGCTTCAATACAAAACACGCCCCTTCTCACGTCAAAGTCAGGTGGAAAGTGAGGTCGACCAAGAATCAACCGATTTGGGAACAGTCTCAGATACATCATCGTACAAGCTGATATGGCCTTTCCCGTTCATCGCGTACAGCTCTTTCGGTTCTGCAGCTTGGTTCCTAGTTTACCGGCTCATATCTGTCCTTACTACTTGGTCACTAATGATCATAAGTAAGGGCTGGGGTATGATCCAATCCATCGAAGTGAAAGAGGCATACACCGCCATGAGCTGCGCACCGCGCCGAACGCATTCTTTCGTCGAGTATGGGTGCTTGCACCGACCTGGCATTTCATGATGTTTCTTACCCGAAACTTTCGAAGATTTTCAGCATTTCAGGCTGCAGGCCTTTTGCTTCTGCAATGTGATCTTCTGTGGCATGGACTAGCTGCTGCTGAGTGTTCTTTGGCAGTGCTGGCACGTGTTATATGGCCACAGCAAAACAGCACAGATGCGAACCTCAGTCATTGTGGCAGATGCCATAATACTCAAACGCGCAAACAGGTACGAGTCCGATGCGATCTGAGTCAATGCCACGCCACGATCCATCGTCCAGAGGAACGATGCCGCGCTCTTGAAGTCCTCAATGCTCCGGGAGGGTTCCTCCAGGCAATGAGGCTCAACGCCGCTTTCGCCGTACTGTGCAGCGTTGTACCAGGGCGTGGAAACCAGTCACCGCGAGACATCCAGTAATTATACCAGAAGCTTCCTCCTTGATGCCTGTGCTAGGATTATCGACTATTTTGATGGCTCCTTTGCGATTGGGTGCGGAAGAATCGGTCGAAATGAGATTTTCAACTACACCTATGCCACGACCAGGGAATTTGACCTGGCGGCAGGTCAATGCGATGAACGATAAAAGGCGTGCTTCGGTGTGGCCGCCGTAGAATCAGCTACTGACCAATGTAGGCAAATGACGCCTAAGAGATGTCGGCGGGCGCCAAAGGTGGTTTATATAGCTCATAGATAGTGTCAGTCGCCATGAATGGACTTCAAGTAAGGTATGACGTAAATTACTCAACGGAAGTAGAGATACTCCTGTAGTCCACTCCAATATCAGCATTTGTAGAGCTTTTGATGTCTAAATCCAGGGCTCACCACGGCTTCCATCATGGGGTCAGGCCTCATATTCTCCCCTGACTGTGCACTCCCTATATCACCGTCGCTAGCAGTGAGTGCCCGATGAGCACTACAAGGATATGCGTCAGAGGCGTATCTCGGGCCAGCACGTGCCCACGAGCTATCGAGCGACAGGTCCATTCCCAGGTTGGTGGTTGCGCACTGGACATGTGCTTTGAAACCTTTTACAAGCGAAGCATTCACAACCCAATTTTGCAGCAGCTAGACAAATGTTTATGTGATGACACGCAATCTAAACCACCGAGTGTAATACGGAACAAAAGTTTGGACCGAGATGCTAGCGACCTCGACTCATGTAGACTCTTACACTCATTACAGGAAATATCCGACTACGACGTATAGCTCAGGGTACGACTCCTCGGCTAGACTACCACGAGGTTTGTACTCGACATTATTTACTGATTTTAAACGGGTATACATAAGGTTAGCTAGACTCTTCTTTATTCTACTTTTTATCTGGTGATAGTGCTTTTAGGACTCCGTCTTGGCAATACGCTCGACGGTTAACCCTTATAATATGCCACAACTTCACTGTCGATATTGTAGTCTAAAGAGTTGAGATGGGCAAATTACTGGGACAAATAGTAGAGAAAGTTCGCATTGCCTCCTCCAGCCGGGCCGGTATGAGGTGTGACGGATAGACTTCTCGTACTGTCGTCGCCAACCATGTAAGCCACAATATCCACTACAGAGTGAATCAGAAGCTGGGAGAGCCAAAACATACAACACCGGGGATTCGCTGGTGGTCACCCACCCAACTACTAGTCCGGCCCTTATTGGTTTATCGCTGGGAGAGCGGACGGGATCCCGAGTTCTCCAGTAGGTATGGTCGTATGTGGTGGAATGCATAGAGGCTGCAGAATATGTTCCCAAATGCCACAGCAGTGGCAAGTATATCAGGGAAGGCTAGAGGGGTTTCAGAGACCATGCATTCGAAAACGCCATTGATATGGTCGATTGGGACTTCACGTGTCCTCGGAAGAATCTTGATAGACGACGTGACTGGGACAAAGTTCAGGAGGCCAGTCGCCTTTCGTGTCATGACATAAACAACAAATCCCAGTGGACAGCTTCTCACTTCAGCTTAGATGCTGCTCACTCATACTCGAATTGACAATTTTATATATTAGACAAACTGTTCAAAGGTTGTGTTCATGGGCAGCGTTGCGTATAGTCTCGAGACATTCATTGTGCCACATAAGGCAGCCTGATGGGCCTTACAGAACAGGCTGATCTGCACACGTATTCGCCAACCAGCGCGACGCGACAGACTCTGATCCATTCTACGCATGTATGTTTCGTTGGTATGGCAAGCCTTTCACGTCAGACCGATGTGTGAAAGTGTGCCACAGTCCAACACGCTTTTTATACCTTTTCGCTTTGTGACACCAAGCAACATCAATGGTGAACATTAAGTAATGAAGGTCATTCAACAAGGTTCATTATATCGTACCATAATTCCTTAAGTCGGAAGCCGTCACAACTATCCAACAAGAAACTCATATACAAAACAGGGGTATCCAACACGCCCACTATTTAGGTCGAGGGATCTTTCGCCTGTACATTTAGAGAATCCAGGCGATGAAGGTCTTGTAGAACCAGCTGCCACCGCGCTTATTACCCTCGAGCTCGCGGCGCGCAGCCTTCTGAGCGAGGAACTCCTCCTCCTCGCGGTCCACAATGTCCTTGCCAGTGAAGAAATCCGCCTCGTGGGGCTTGACTCCCTTGCTCTTGGTGACGATCTTGTGACCGGCAATCATGATAAGGTACAGGGGAATACCCAGGTAAGCAGTGATGAAGGTCTTGTACTTCTCCTTGCCGAAGCCACCCCCGACGAAGACGTCAAAGTTCTTGGTCAAGGCGATAAGGATGCACATGAACAGCGCACCATAAGAGCCCCAGATGCCGAAAGGTGCCCTGTAGGGCATGACATCGTCCGTGAGGTTCTGGGCCTTGCGAGCGCGGCTGAACCAGATATGCGTGACGAGCAATGAGATCCAGGATAGGATACCAAAGATGGTGGTGAGGTTGACGAAGTAACCGAAAACGAGCTTCGAGTCATCGGCAACGTTGAGGAACGCCAGAAGCGCGAACAGGGAGGAGAAACCCAGAGCGTAGATGGGAACTCCACGCTTGTCAGTCTTCTTGAAGATGGCGGGAGCTGATCCGTCGGAAGCAAGGCCGTAAAGCGTACGGGAGGCGATGTACAGATCCGAGTTGGAGGCGGAGAAGACGAAGACGCAAATGCATGCATTGATAATGTGGGGGACAACCTTGACACCGGCAACCTCGGCCGCGACAACAAAAGGCGAAGCGGCGGCACCCGTGGCTGCCTTGTTGGCAAAGGCAAGCCTCGGCGAGTCGTAGGGAACATTCATGCCAACGAGGAGAACTGAAAGGCAGTAGAAGAAGAGGATACGGTAGAATGTCAGACGGACTGGATTCAGATCAGTATGTGCATGTGTAGGAGGCAGAAGGTTTCAAACGCTTACTGGCACGGGGGATCGTCTTGCGGGGGTTCTGAGCCTCAGCAACGGTGACACCAACAAGCTCGGTACCGAGGTAGGCGAAGGTAGCCGTGACCATGGTCGACCACAGGCCGAGGAACTTGCCGGCATCGCCGTCCTTGATGTAGGGCTTGAAGGCTCTTAGCGAGGATTAGCTGTGATCGTTCAAATCAAAGGCGCACAATTGAACACCTACCCAGGTTCTTTCCAGTACCGGAAACCCTTGCGGTCTTTGTCTGGGCCACCACCAAGGGCGAGGATCAACGAGAAAAGAATGATGCCGACAATGGTGATGACCTTGAAGGAAGACAGCCAGAACTCAAATTCTCCAAAGAACTTGATGCCGAAGTAGTTGATACAAATGATGGCGACAAGGAAGATGGCGATGAACACACCCGGGTTGATGTCTTCACGCGGAACCCAGTACTGAATAACGAGGGCGACGGCAGTCAGTTGGTTGGGCGTAACGATGATGTATTTGAACCAATACGTCCAGCCGAGCGCAAAGCCGAGAGCAGGGTCGCAGTACCGAGAAGCGTAGCCGCTGAAGCCAGCGGACAGAGGGAGCCAGGTGGCCATCTCGCCAAGGGCGGCCATGACGAGGTATACGACGAAACCAACAATGGTGTACGAGATGAAGATAGAGCCGGGACCGGCCTGGGCCAGAGCCTTACCGGTGCCGATAATGAGACCAGTACCGATGGCACCACCGATGGCGATCATAGTAATGTGACGAGCCTTGAGTCCCTTGTGGAGCTGCGTCTCGGGGTTGGTCTCGAGGCCGCGGATGTGGAGGTCCTCCTTGGGTCCGGAGTACTGGCCGACCAGAGCAGGTTCGTCTGTCTTCTCGACATCGTACTGGCCGTACTCGCGCGACGTCGCGCGTGTGACGTGAGGGTCCATGCTTGCACGCTCTGGACAGGAGGTCTTGACAGCAGTGGAGTGAAGTGCAGCCGAATAAAGCAAGGAAGGATCGGGCTAAGAAAATAGCTGGGACGACAGGCCAGGTCAGACAGACAGGCGACGAGTGGGAGGGCCCGACTTTAAATGATGGATGTCTCGCGAGCACGAGGGGCAGACCGAGAAGGGACCCAGGTCCGGGCACGATAACGTCGAGTAAGACATCAAAGGGGTGTGCGCAACCGCCCCAAGTTGACGACCCACCAGATAAGGCTAATGCAAGACAAGGGCGGATGGGAGCAGCGTCAGTGGCACAGGAAAGAGACTTTTGGCACCTTCCCCGCGTGGTAGGAAGCACGGTTGACAAGCTGGGGTCGGTGTTGCGTAATGGGGAAGGTGGTGCGACGATGATGACCTCGCTGGTGCAGTGTTCAGTAACGATTTGGTAACGAGATTTGGGGTAGCGGCCAGCGGCGTCCTCGCGGCGTCAAGGGCGCGCTCGATGATGGGGATCCTGGGCGAAAAGATCTGCGTCGCTGCTCTTTCGCGGTTGGGAGCCCAGTACCTACCTAGGTACATGTACTGCACTGCCCTGAGATCTTCACTGGATGGAGCTCGATCTGTGTTGGTGCTCGCCGCCAGGTCAGACACTGACCAACTGGCACGAACGCCCGCAGAGAAGAAGCCGGCTGCCAGGCTTCCAGAAGGAAGCTTGGCAGGCAATAGCCTGCCACTCCTTATCACGAGGTGGAGGAACAGAGGGATAAATTGACAAGACGAGGTGGGGCCCGACCTGACAAGCCGAAGTCAACCGGACGCATTTCGCCCTCGCCATAGGATGAGGGGAGATGCCCTGGATGCTAGCTCTTTCTGTTGTTGGGCAGATCAAACTGGCAAGGGTGGGTAAACAAAAACCTGCGTGCTCGAATCGCATGAAGTGGGGGGGACATCGGTGCTGCCATCATTCACAGTACACATGATTGGGCTGAGGCCGAACAGGGTGTGGTCGTGGCGGCCGCCGTCTCGTGCAAGACCCGGTCCTCCCGTCAGCCATCGCGCTCAATGAGGTGAGGGGCTGGACGCCCCGTCCTGTAAAAGCCGAGAGACAGACACCCTGGTCGAGACGAATAGCCGAGTGGCCAAGAGGGCCAAGAGAGCCAAGCAGGGCAGAGATGGCCAAGGTCGATGGCCAAGATGAGTGGAAAGCTTGACCGAAAAGCTTCGCCCACACGACCCTTCTTGGCCTGCCTCTTCGCCCTGCCTGGTCTGCCTGTGGCTTGAAGTAGCACCTTGATGCAGGCCGAATAATTATTTCTTCTTCTTTCAGCTGGTCTGCCTTTCGTGGGGAATCCCGGGTAAGAAAACGCCTACTGTTACGTCGTCGAGATATGGATTGAGTTCGCAAGCGTCGAACGGCGAGTCAAACGGCTGGTGGCGTTGTTGTGGTAAAGTCCCGAGAACTATGCATACTTTTGCCCCAGACAAACCCTCGGGCGCACGCAGGCACATCGCACCTCCACGAGCTTCCTTGCTGGAGCTAGACGACGTTCTGGAACGATAGCCAAGAAGTGGATTGCAACCAGAAATTGGCTCCGCCACAGTCCAGTGAGTGCAAGGTGGGGAGTGGATGCGTTTGCAGATTGGCCGACTCGGATTGAGAGTCTGGTTTGGGCCAGGTGACCACCAACGGACGAGCTGACAAGGCAAGGGAGGTGGGCTTATCGCAAACAGTGGAGCAAGAACTTTGACGGTACGACACGGGACCACATAGCACGACGCAGCGCGCTGTTCGCGTCGGTTCGAGTCGGGGTCGAGCAGCGACAGTATCGTAGCGGCCGGGCGCCAGCGGGACTTCGGCGGTCGAGACTTGTTCCGAGACGGCTTGGTAGCTCAACTAGTTACTGACTGCTGGAACGTGGAGCGCCGCAAACAAGTAGTCGGGTACGAGAATGCCTTGTCTGCCACCCCCCGCCATGTCTCTTTAACGTGGGCAAACAGAATGTTGTGCCCTGGGCATATTTTATGGTCGCCACAATTTCTCATTGCAAGCCAAGCACTTGGCAACTAGAGAAGAGAAATGCTTTACTCGGGCGAAACTGGAGAGCCTGGCAGCCTGGGATGGGGGGTCTTCAGAGGCGCTATGTCTGTGCCTGTGTCCTTCCAAGGCGCACAGATTGCGCCGAGCTGACAATGCACCAGGTCTGATGTGTCGAGGGGGACCAATCCAAGTCGTGTGCAGCATGGCGTGGAACACGTGACCAAACATCACATGACTCTGCGGAGCCACATCAGCCGCAATCTTCGGACACCCCGCGATTCTACGGGTACTGCCGGACTCTTGAGCGCCAAACCTGTCATATTCTGGATTGCGTCCCACCTCATCAGCTATCGGGTGACACCACACTATCGGCAACCAATGAACTCTCTCTCGATGCGAATGCGAAAACTTTTCCAGGGAATCGCTATCAGAAGGTCTTGTCACAGACGGGCGTTGAATCTACGGGCACAGATTCCAGCTACGTCGTCTGGCGGCCCAGTGCCGCTCCAACAAGCACGCCTATCTAAACTGACAGCTCCTGTTCCGCAACTGAGCCGGAGCCATCAGTATCCCATGTCTACACAAGCTGGGCACTTGGGGCAGCAAGGTCAGCCCTCGTCCCTTGAGAAACCCATTTCCCCACAACTGCTGGGCGAGGTACGCGACTTTTGGTTTTCTCATTTGGAAAGTGAGGATGCCGCCATCCTGCCAGGCTTCAATGAGATGAAGCGTTGGTTCATGGGAGGCGAAGAGCTTGATGATCTCTGCAGGTAGGTTATTCCGGCCACGCCGCAACTGGACACTCGCTTACTCGTCCAGCGAACGTTTCAAGCCAGCGCTTGAGGCCATCAAGTCATCGAACGCGACCCCAGAAGCGATCATTTCCGACGCCAGCCCATCCGACCCTGGGGACTGGCTCGCGTTAGTCCTTTTGCTGGACCAATTCCCCCGCAACTGTTACCGAGGGTCTTCAGCAAGTCTCGTCTTCTTGATTTTTGACCCACTTGCCCAAGCCGTTGCACGCAAGGCCATCGATCTTGGTATTCCATTTTCTCGTGACATTCGATACCACCTGTCTCGCCGCATGTGGTTCTACCTACCTCTGATGCATTCAGAAGATATCGCGTTGCACGACCAAGCCGTTGCTGAGTACGAGCGCATGGGCCGCGACTTCAAGACGCTCATGACGTCTTCACCAGTCAATAACGCCGCTGAGGAGCGTTGCCGTCAGGTCCTGGCGACGGACAAAGAGGCAACTGAAAAGGTTCTGGCTTCGAATCTCGACTTTGAGAACAAGCATCGTGATATCATTGTTCGCTTTGGACGCTATCCCCATCGCAACGGCCCGCTTGGCCGGAAAATGACGGCGGACGAGCAGAAATACCTCGACGACGGTGGCGAGACTTTCAGTGCGAACGCGTCGAAGTCTTGAACAGTCGTACCCAGGGCGCGCTGACAACCTCGAGCACGCAACCTTTGACAAGCCTGTATATATGTGGTGGTACCTGTTTCATGTTGTTTCTTTTCAGGTCGCAACTTTGTGCCAAAACCAAATGCAATCATGGAAATCTCCGTGGAAGTTGACGATCACCCCGCACTGGGTTGGGGAGCACGCCATCTCCCTTCCTCCAGTTATTGACGCGTCATTACCACACGTCATGATTGACAATCAGACATCACGTATGCCTCGCATGGCGTCGTCTACATCGCAACTGATACAAACAGAATTCGGACGCTGTTCTTCCGTTTCTTGCTTTCGAAACCATAACACATCAAAATGGGACGGTTTGCCCACAAGCTTCCCGGGCAAGAAGTTGCTGTCATTGGCGGTTCTTCCGGGGAGGTCGTGCTCTTTCAACAATTCTCATGCACTGTCTGGCTCCCGTAGGATCGGATCGGCTTTGGTGCCTCTGAAATCTTGCTTGATACCGGTGCTTGTGTGTTTGTCATCTCCTCAGCAACGGAAAAAGTGCCGAGTGCCGTCCAGCGCTCGAATAACCCAAACGTAACAGGCAGAGTAGGAGATTCCCGTGACGAGGCTAGCTTCACGCAACTCCTCTAATCGCTCGCGCCTCTTGACCATATCGTCTTTTCGAGCGTTGACAAGATCATCCGCGGCAGTCTAGCCAGAAGTTGACCTGAATGACGTGAAGAATCTGTTTGGTGTAAAGTTCTGGGGTAGTATTGTCATAGGAAAAGATGCGTTTCTTGAGCTTTGAGCATACTTAGTACGCTAAAATCAAGTGGCTGTTGCAAAGCATGGAATCATCAAACCTGGAGGCTCGCTCACTCTGACCTCGGGTCTCGCCGGAATACAGCCCGGGAAAGGTGCCACGGTTGGAGGTGCCCTCAATGGTGGACTACTATCCTTGACCAAAGGGCTGGCTGCCGCCGATCTGTCCAATAAGAAAATCTGCGTCAACACTATTGTGCCAGGGCTAGTGAAGACGGAGCTATGGGTAAGCTGGGATACAGCGAACAGAAACAACAGGAGATTCCCGAAGGACGCGGTAAGAGCTTCCACTGGGCTTCGTCGCGACCCCAGAACACATTGCCGATGCTTAACTCTATCCTGTTCGAGCAGACTATGCAACTGGGACTCTCATTTTCATTGATGGTGAAAACCTAGTCTGTTTGTCAAGTTCGATGCAATTGTCCTTCTACAGTGTTGAACTCGCGTTCGGCCCAGGAACATCCAACCAGAAATCGCCAAAACCCACCATCGGCCAAGCAGTGTGGCGCCCAGTCGCTACATGTGCTATAACTATCAGCGTGCGCGGACAAGTCATTGATGCAATCAAAGATAACGCACCACAGGCCGGCTTTTTCACCTCCCCGCGACATACAGCCAGTAAGTGATGTACACAGAAGTCCTTCAACTCTTCGGCTCTCGACATACACGTTGACCATAAAGACCTCTTAGAGCGTGGCACAAAGTTGAATACAACCTGCCACAAGAACCGAG